CCTCCCCCACTTTATCAAGTATTAAAAAAAAAAATCTGCACTTCCTCACCAAACAATACATTACTTTGGGAGTGCTCTTGCCAAAAAGTCAACTTGAGTCTAATCTAGTCCTTAGATTTAAATAACAATTTACAACATTCAAAGGACAAAGAATGTAAAACTACACCAATGGTATAAAATCAGCAAATCCAGACTGGGAAATTCTTTTAAGACTAACAGTCAGTTTCTTCAACAAATAAACTGCTAAGAAAAAGAGATGGAGGGAAGCATAAAAACAAAACAAACAAACAAAAAGACACTTTAAAGACAACCAGTCACAATGTGGACCTCATTTGGTTAGATCTTGACTCTAAGCAAACTGTTAAAAATGAAAAAATTAAAACATCTGAGTCAACTGAAAAATTGATTCCTTATATTAACCTTATATATATATACCTACCTAACTTAAGAAATTATTTATTTTTATGTATGATATTACTGTAAGGTCCAAAACACTCATTATCTTTAAAGAGACACAGAGTGAAATATTTACAAATGAGATGATACATCTGGACATACTTCACAACAATATGAATTGGCATACAGATGAAATGAGATTGAAAGCTGATAAATACATGATTATTCATTAATTATCTACTTTTACACGTGTTAAAAATCCTTCATGATAAAGTTATTTATCTCTATTATAAAATAGAGAATGATATAAAAGTTCAAGCAACTCCGTACACATCAAGACTCTTCAGGGCACCTGGGTGGCTCAGTCGGTTAAGTGTCTGACTTGGGCTCAGGTCATGATCCCACCGTTCATGGGTTTGAACCCTGTGTCCAGTTCTGTGATGACAACTCAGTTCTGTGTCTCCTTGTCTCTCTGCCCCTCCCCTGCTCACACTGTCTCTCTCTCTCAAAAATAAACATTAAAACTTTCTTTAAAAAAGACACTAGAGTCAGCTCTCACCAATGCTTAGAGTGCAATATATTCCATGTATTTCGGTTTATATACATAATTTAATTCTACGAAGTTAAGTTTTGACCTTCCTAAACCAACTCCTAAAATTGAAATAATTCCTATTACCTACTTTGGAAGCTTGGGATTCACAAAAATCAAAATCACCTCACTAAAACTTCTGAGATGAAAGCAAATATCCACTGACAGTTAACTGAATAAATAAAATGTGGTATAATCACACAGTGGGTACCAAAGTAACAAAAACAATGAACGATCACTATATGCAAAAAATATTAGATATTAACGGGAGGAACATAATAAGGTGGGTGGGTGGTTCCAGATCTTCATCTGGGTACTGGTGATATGGGTACATACATAGGTAAAATTCCAGCAAGCTATACACTTAAGATTTGGGCACTTTCCTACTTATAAATTATACTTTGGGGGGGGGGGGTTGCAGAGACATTCAAAAAAAGAAACAAATACATTTGCCTAAACTACATCCCCAACAACAAATTAGCATTAGGAAGGGAAAGACCCAGAACACTTGAGAGTCTATACATTTATCTCACAGGGAAAGGTCACCCTGCCTCCCCCACCCCACCACTTATTCTGTCTCTCATCACAGATTTTCAGCTCGTGTAGAACTCCCTACTTTTTACATGTGAAATGGGATTTTTTAAAATACTGACATAAAAGACCTAATAGGTTGCACATAAATTTTTAAAAATTTTTTAATGTTTATTTTTGAGAGAGAGAGAGAGAGAGAGAGAAGCAGCAAAGAGCCCTGGGAGACACAGAATCCAAAGCGGGCTCCAGGTTATGAGCTGTCAGCACAGAGCCAGACACACAAGGCCTGAACTCATGAACCATGAGATCATGACCTGAGCCCAAGTTAGACACAACCAACTGAGCCACCCAGGCGCTCCTGCACATAAATTTTTACAACTATTTCATGTACATTTCAAATACATGTACATGTATTTCATGTACAATTATTTTCATGTATGAAAATGACTTTTACAAGTAATAAATATTCTACTTAAAATTTTTAGGTTCACTAACAACTTGAATTTTTGTGGTATTTCTCACATACAGCATTTATAGTAAATGTCCTAAGTTTATATTCTTGGAAGTTCAAAATGTCTTCTACATTATCAATTCAGTAAATCAGCAATTTTAGTCACCCTCTGTTATATTTCATGGTTAAAGTCTAACTATAGTAACTGATTAATTCCAACATACATGAATTTTATTCTAGAAAAATGTTTAGTTCACCTCTTAAGTTTACAAAAGACTAATTTCTTTCCTCCTATACTTTAAAAACAGCCTATTTTCAAAATATAAGTAGTTCAAAAAAAGAAAACTGTGTAAGAAGCTGCTTACTTCAAAAGAAAATAAGACCTAATAATCAGAATTTCCCCTATAATTCAGAAATGTTTGGTAAATGTTTTGGTGGCTCAGTCGAGTAAGCATCTGACTCTTGATTTTGGCTCAGGTCATGATCTCACAGTTCATGGGTTAGAACCCCACTTTGCACTCCACGTTAGCAGCTTGGAACCTGCTTCGGATTCTCTCTCCCTCTCTCTCTGCCCCTCTCTCGCTCATGCTCTCTCTCAAAATAATTTTTAAAAAATGTTTGGTAAGAATCTTAGAATATTCTTAGTTTTACAGAACTACCACACTTCTTGTTTTTATCCAACAGAAAAGAGCTCATGTTCAGCCTTGTATTATAATTACTAACCACTCAAAATGAAACAGTCATCTATTTCTAAATCACATGTAAAATATTTATATTTAGCTCCTTTAGTGAACTGTACCCTTACCCAGGTCAATAAAAAGGACATAAAAAGTCAGTATAAGCCACGTTCATCTTCTACCTTCTTCAGTTAGCATCCCACCTTTGCAGGCAGATAGGTTAATGAAATAAATTCAAAACTATCCCACTGTGACTTCTCCTTTAATTTAATTCTTTTAGGAAAAGCATGACCCACCATTAAATCAGTATAAGGAGAGGCCTGTTAGCCCAAAACTCAACAATGTTTGATGCCATTTCAATTAACAGAATAAGATTATTTATATCATAAATTCTATATGGAAGGCATATCAATGAAAACCAATAAGGATACTTCAGCCTAGAAGCCATTAACCAGGTGTGTAAGCTCACTCAGGCCCTCATAACCTTCCTGGGGCTTCAGTGTGTCTCCCAGGAAAAGGGACTTCAGAGAGTGCAAACACATGACACGTGTGTAGGCTGCTACTCTCCTCTGAACAACCACTACTAACTGATCAGAGATGGCTTCAGAAATGGGACTTGAAGTGAAACTTATCTGTCACTGCTAGGCAAATGATCTAAGTGTTTTTCCCCTTTGAACATTCTGTCTGTGACCTACTTGGAATCAACGACATTTGCAGGAACAGCTCAGACACACGTAAATACGACAGACACACGCTTACTTAAGGAGTCAGAACCTCAATTATCATCTTTAAATGCAGTCTTGTTTTTTTTAAATATGCCACTATTCATTTTTCTATTTCTGATGTAAAATTGTAGGAAATAACAGAGTCTAAGTGTATAAAACACTGTATCTTTCTCAATTTGCTAAACATGTAAAATAGTGTTGTTTAATATGAACTACATTCCCGATACCCAGGCATTCCTGATCCTGCCTAGAGATCCTATGAAAGGAATTTACCGAAAAGCTTCCTGGAAAATCAACTGTTACTTACCTTAAGGCAGATGCATACACACCCAGTTTCAGATTAATATAGACCTCGTGAAGGTGAGCGCCCTGACAAGAGCTTAGACAATTACATAACTCTGTCAAAGTGTTATTTCTAGCATCTTCATGTGGCTTCTGAATGTCAAACACCATGTAAAGAAAGCCCTTCTTCCTAAGTGCTCCACTCCAATTTTCTAATTCCTTTTTCTTCGTCCCTATCAAAGTCCCATTCCCTCAGCCCGAATTTCAACTGTTAGAAAAACATTGATTCAAGTAAAACTATTTTTTGTTTTTTTTTTTTCAGGGGAAAAATTCCAAAGCCAGGGAAGGGGAGGGAAATAACAACTGCCTGGTACAATCAAAAAGTAAAAATTTGTGGACAGATGGAGACTCAATGGTTGAAAGAGAAAATAAGTGTTGACGACAGGGCAGTTAATATTAGGTGAGGGAGACATGGTAAGGAGAAGACCCATTCCTGACAGAGGTTAAACTAGCCAGGAAAAATAAGTAACTAAAGCAGTCATCAATGAAACTATTGACTAGTGCCATGGGAGTTGGAAGAAGGACATATTATAGTCTTATAAATCAGAACAAGCCTAGGGGCGCCTGGCTGACTCAATCGTAGAGCGTACAACTCTTGATCTTAGGGTCATGAGTTCAAGCCCCAAGCTGCATGGCCCTACTTAAAAAAAAAAAAAAAAAAATCAGGGAAGTCCTCCTATGCAAAGATTAGCCAAGGACAGAGCAACATTTGAGAAATAACATGACACACTTGAGGAACTGCAAACACTATAGTATACCTGACACAGAGAAGCAAGATACAAAACTTTTTCAAAGATTATTGAAGACCAGGGAAGCCACACTGAGGAACTGGACTTTATCTCAAAATGTAATAGTCACTGAAGCTGACTTATATGAAGGGCACTGGTGTACTTTTACAAAAGTCTCTATCAGCCTACTTCACCCATTATTGTAAAGGTGATCAAGAAAGGAGAGGTGTGAAGAAATAACAAAAACATGAGAGCAGTGTATCTATCAGAGGCTTTCGAGTACACTCAGATACCTTGGGTTAGAGCTACAATGCCTATAACCTAGATGCTCAGTCATATGCATCAATATGGAGTGTATGCAAAAAGGAATTATGGAGATGAAGAAGAGTCAAGGACTCAAACAAACTTAGATTACTGTCCTAACTGAGAAGTCTTAGCAAGAACTGGATTTTTGTAAAACTAAAGACACAGCTCTTACTGTTTGTTGTCTATTATTTTTAAATGGGGTTGGTTGGCTGTTTTTTGTTTTTAACTGGGTTCAATTTAAAAGACACTATTCACCTTGTTATACATATATCTAAGCATGAAGTCCAGTAGAAATGATTTCCCTTTACGAAAAGCTCCTGCCACGGATACCACTACTATGTTAAGATCTCGTATGTGTTCCTGCAGCAATATCTGCTCCAAAGCTTCTTCATCGAGCTCAAAGTTATGGTCATCTTCATGAGCAAGAACAATCTGTACTGGACATGGTTTCTTCATAACCTCATCAGAGTTTACTAGGTCATCATCTTCATAATTCTCACCTAGAATTAAAAAAAGAGAAAAAGGTTAGCTTGAATTCCTGCATCACAAACTTCTCCTGAAGGATCACAACTAAGGCAAAATTTCAAGTCACTTCCCCTTTATTACCTATCACCTGAAAATAGTTACAAAAAGTGATGTTCAAGTACATACTGGATTTTTCACTCCCTCTATCATAGGACCAAGAATATTGCTAAGATTTCCCACTATACATACAGATAAGCACAACACTAAGTATAGCCTCTACTATTAAGTCTAAACAGCTACATGTGAACAGTAGCTGTTTCTTGAGCACTGCATTCTTCTATATACAATCTCTGCTACTGTACACACACAGAAACAGGATCTATGTGAGGGGAGGGGGGAGGGGGCCAATTTTACCTAATAATTCAAATTCCAATTCTCCTGGTAGGCATTTCCTGGATATTACTCCAAGTTACAAAGATTAAAACATATGAGTTGTAAACATTTTTCACTATGAAACTTAAACGGTTAAGCTAAGGTCCTAAGAAGTTTCTAAAACTGACACTTATGGTAAAGCTAATGAGTCCCTAATTTAGTAAGACTAACCTAACAGTACAGCTTCCTTTATTAAAGCAAAGCCCAGGATTAATGTTCTGTTGGAAAACACAAGAACAGTGAGTGAGGTACAGAGTTATATCCTATAGTTTCATCTGCCTCTGAGATCTTTTCCACCAAAGACCACAACCACCACTTCAAATTATATAACTCCCCAGAACAGGTATATAAACTATTCCTTTGTTCACCCAGCATACCAAAACAAGGTAACCTTTGCAGAACCTTACTGAATAGTAATAAAGAAATAACCATAAAACATGCAACAGCGTGGGATGCCTGTGTCACACTGACAGCGCAGAGCCTGCGTGGGATTCTCTCTCCCTCTCTCCCTGCCCCTCTCCCTCTCCCGAGCACACACAAGAGCGCTCGCTTGCTCTCTCTCAACATAAATACTTATAAAAATATATGTAACAGCAGAGGCAAGTTCCTAAAGTTTAGGTTTCTGTCCTTTTAATAAAACAAAACAAGCACACAGAAACACCTAATAGCTAATTTCAGAGACTTATATCCCTTGTCAGGCTTTCTTCTCTATCAATTGCTTGCTCTCATGTAGCCAAGTCACTCCCAGGGACCTTATCCTTTCTCACATCAACATTTTTTAAGAGACTCTCCCCTTGAGTCTGTCTACTGAATGGTCCTTTCCAATCTAAGGAGACATACAATATCTACTGTGTTCAGTGCAATGACAGTCCCTTCTCTCCCAGGAGACAGCCAGTACACTGAGGAGTAGCACATTATTAGCCAACATGGCAAGACTACCTTATCCAATAACCACGATTCTTAAAGATTACCTCTACACTAATGGCTTTTTTTCCTCCTAGAAAGAAGTATCTAGCTTGTCTGATTTGCAAAAACTATGAGAGCCTTTTCTACCATCACAAGGCACCTTTAACTGTACACAGCAAAAGCAGCAACACTATTTCAAAATGTGCTACAGACAGTGACAATATAAAGAGCAAGCCATTTCAAAGGAGAATCGTTGGAAGTAAAAGCAATCAATATTTAATTAAAGAGGATATTATTATCACTTCCAGTTTCAATGGTATGCAAATACAGAGTGGCACCTTCCTGATCTCCCTCTTTGACCCCTCCTTTAGTCCAATCTAAATTCCACAGGGTAGCAACAAAATAACATAGATAAATGTGACTGTTACTAAATTACTCTCCTTTAAATCACTGTTACAGAGCATTAACAACTAAAATCCCACACATGCCTTATAAAATCCTGTACTCACTGCCAAATCTCTCCTGCCTCATTTGGTGCTACTCACCTCTGTAAACTACAAAAGAGAGAAGTTAGCCTTTTTTCAGATTCTTGTGCTTTATTAAAGCCCTTTCTGGACTCATATTTCACTCAGGATATTCCTTTGTCTGGAATATTCTCTTCCATGTTGTTGCCCTAATCAATTCATGCTGATTCCTTAAGTCTCAGTTTAAACGTCATTTCCTAAATATTATTTCCTCAGGAACATCTTTCCTGAGTTTCCTAATCAAGTTTAGTTCTCCTATACTTCTCCAATCTGAATCCACCTATCATTTGAATATATATGTAAATGCTTTTTATTATAGGTCTCCCCCTTTAAACTGCCAATCCTCTGTTTAAAACCCTCAACGAGCTTCCCACTGTAACCAGAAAATATACAGAAAAAAACACAACTCTGAAGTTCCTAACCATGACCTCCACGGTCCTGTGTGATCTGGCCCCTGCAATCTGGACCTCTTTCTGTTCCTTGAACAGGTCAAACCTGTTTCCCACCTTAGATTCTTTGTCCTGTGTTCTCCCCTGCCTGGAATGCTCTGCCCCTACAAACTCATGTGGCTTTATTTTCCATCATCTAGGTTTCTTCCTTGACCAGTAGGTCTAAATTACAGACCCCTCCACATCACTTTAACAAAACAGGTTTTTTTCCCCCACAGTCCTTTTCAATGTCTAAAATAACCCTTTTTCACTTGTTTACATTTGTACCTTATCTCTCTCCCTCCATAGAAAGTATACATGACAAAAGTAAGAATCTCAATCATCTTACTGACCACTCTATCTCCCAGCACCCAAAACAGTGTTTGGCACCTAGCAGCTGCTTAATAAATATTTCTTGAATGAAAGAAATTTACACATTTTACTTAGGGGTTTTACACCTACCTGCCCCTACGTACTTTACAAGCAAATATGACAGTCACACAACTAGTTCGGGAAAATACTTCCAGCAACTCAAGTAGTATATTTATCACAAAATTACAATTAGAAGTATGAAGTTCTACCAAGTAATACATTAATTCAAAAGAGCTCAAAATCAGTAAATGCTAAAATATCACAATGACCAAATTTGGAGATTGCTGATTTTGTTAAAACCAACAAATAGTCTTGTTGTTACTGTAAAGAAAGCATTAGTTTCTTAAAAATAAAACAGGGGCTCTTGGGTGGCTCAGCTGGCTAAGCATCCAACTCCTGATTTCAGCTCAGGTCATGATCTCATGATTCATGAGATCGAACCCCACATTGGGCTCTGTGCTGACACCACGGAGCCTGCTTGAGATTCTCTCTCTCGGGTCTACGGCCATACCACCCTGAACGCGCCCAATCTTGTCTGATCTCGGAAGCTAAGCAGGGTCGGGCCTGGTTAGTACTTGGATGGGAGATTCTCTCTCTCGGGCCCTCCCCCCTCATTGTGTTCTCTGTCAAAATAAATAAACATTAAAAAAATAAAATCAGGGGCACCTGGGTGGCTCAGTCAGTTAAGCATCCAATTTCAGTTCAGGTCATGATATCATGGCTATTGAGTTTGAGCCCTGCACCTGGCTCTGTGCCAACAGCTCAGAGCCTGGAGCCTGCTTTGGATTCTGTGTCTCCCTCTCTCTTTGCCCCTCCCCCACTTGTGCACTGTCTCTCTGTTTCTCAAATATAAACATTAAATTTTTTTAATTTATCAAAAAAAACAAAATTAAATAAAATTAAGTAAATAAAATTAAATAATGAAAAACAAACCACTTGGTACTTTCAAGTTATTAACTTGATATTTCACCTAGATTGCTTGACTACAAGTTACCATGCAGCCACTTTTATTAGCATGGATAAAGATAGGTACCTCAGATATACAGGCAGCAGGTGTCTGTATTTGTCCCCATTTCTAGTCCACAGACTTCTAAACTGAAGTGCAGTAGACATGTTTCCAAAGTATAATGGAGCACAATGGCACGGTTCACTAAGTTTACTCCCCCACCATGATTTCTCTACCAAATTTGTACTAACAACAAAGTACTTCATTCATCAAACACTGATATAAGCAATTGAATATAAGAATTATACATTTCATTAGACTACCTGTAAACATTAACATTCAGTAATTACCAACAACTGGATATCTTTTTAAATTTAGCATTGTTCTAAATTTAAAAACATAACTCTAAATTGGAGTTAAATACCAGGCAGAGAATAGTGATTGTATTTCCATTTTTCAATGCCAAAAAATGACTGAAGCAGACTTCAACCCTCCAATGAATTTTCCTGATTCACTGTTCTGAGTCCGTTCTCCCCCACTCTACCTCTTAATGGATCTTTCAAGGTCAAAGCTGAAAGATACCTACAGAAGATCAATTGTTCCTCAGATATTTCCCCATACTTTAACACCAAGTATACTTGATCTATTTGCCACAAGGCCTACAAAAAAAGACACTTGTCTTAGTTAAAAAAGATCAGTGGTTGCTAGGGGTTGGGGAGGAGGAGACATGACCAGGTGGAATGTAAGGATTTTCAGGGCAGTTAAACTGTTCTCCCTGATGCTACAAAGACAGACACATGGCATCATCCATTTGTCAAAACCCACAGAATATACAACCCTTTAAGTGAAGCCTAATGTAAACTGTGGACTTTCAGTAATAATCGTATGTCAGTGAAGATTCGTCAGCTGTAACAAATGTACCGCTCTGGTGTGGAGCAGGGCAGCTGTTGGTGTGTGGGGACGGGGGATGCATGTGTACTCTGTATTTTCCACTCAATTTTGCAATGAAGTGCTCTAAAAAAAAGTCTATAAAACAAGACATTTGTCTTTTTGATTGCTCTTTAAACATACTTATCTTAAATCTGCCAAATTCATACATTCAGTAAATATTCCAACAGCAAAATTTACACTTCAGAACTGACCTAGATCCGTCTGCAAACTTCAGGCATAATTATACGCTAAGGCAATATAAAGATGCTACAAATCTGCATTACAATAAAATGTTACTAACGTTAGATTATTTCAACCCCAAATTAAACTTGTAGAAAGAAAACCAAGTAAGGAGTAATTCACTTTTCAAAAGCAATGAAAGTATATTTTAAGTTATTATTCACATTCCAACTAAAAACTTGAAACAAATTTTTATGGAAAGTAGCCTGGATTCAAATTAGCAGTTTGACAAAAGCAATGTTTTGGTGTCTGGTACT